GGATGTTCGGGAGTGGAATGCCCCATCTTGGGAGCAGATGCAGCAGAGGTGGAGGAATTGGGAGTAGGGGATCGCATTCTTGCAGGAAGGTGGGTGACAGGAGATGTAGTCTAGGTGACTGTGGGAGTTGGACAGCCTGAAGGCTCTCCACTTCTTCCTCTCTCGCAGGCCCAACCAGTACCCCTCCACTGACACCCTGTTTAACCAAACTCACCCTTACCCCTAACAACTTCTCTTTCAACTCCTCCCACTTCCTACAGACTAAGGGGGTGGCCATGGGAACCTGCATGGGCCCGAGCTATGCCTGCCCCTTCATAAGATACGTGGAACAGTCCTTCTTCCACTGCTACACTGGCACTATTCCCCACCTCTTCCTCTCCTACATCGATGGCTATATCGGTGCCGCCTCATGTTCCTATGAGGAGCTTGAACAGTTCATCAACTTTACTAACACCTTTCACCCCAACCTCAAGTTCACCTGGACCATCTTCGATACCTCCCTCTCCTTCCTGGACCTCTCTGTCTCCATCTCTGGTGACTGCCTCAAAACTGACATCTATTTCAAGCCCACTGAATCCCACAGTTACCTAGACTTCTCCTCCTCTCACCCACCTTCCTGTAAGAATGCGATCCCCTACTCATAATTCCTCTGCGTTTGCTGTGTCTGCTCCCAAGATGGGGCATTCCACTCCCGAACATCCCAGATGTACTCTTATTTCAAGGACTGCAACATCCCCCTTCGGTGGTCAAAAATGCTCTTGACCGCATCTCTTGCATTTCCCGCACCTCTGCCCTCACATTCCCTCCCCCCAATAAAAACAAAGACAGAATTCCCCTCGTCCTCACATATCACTCCACTAAACTCTGTATCCAACGTATCATTCTCTGCCACTTCCGCCACCTGCAATCTGACCTCACAACGAAGGATATATTTCCCTCCCCACCCCTATCTGTCTTCTGTATGGACTGCTCTCTTTGCAACTCCCTCGTCCACACTCTCCACTAGCCCCACCACCTTTCCCTGCAACCACAGGAAGTACTAAAACTGCCCCTACACCTCCCCACCTCACCTCCATTCAAGGCACCAAACAAACCTTCCACATCCAACAGAAGTTCACCTGCACATCCGCTAATGTGGTCTATTGTACCTGCTGCTCCCAATGTGGCCTCCTCTACATCGGTGAGACCAAGCAGAGGGTTGAGACCGCTTTGTAGAGCACTTGTGCTCTGTTCGCAACAAACGACAACACTTCCTGGGTGACATGTCCATCTTGGGCCTCCTCCAGTGTCACAATGACGCCACCCAGAAACTGGAGGAGCAGCATCTCATATTCTGCCTTGGTAGCCTACAGCCCAATGGCCTAAATGTGGATCTTACCTGTTTCCTGCTCCTCTGATGCTGCCTGGCCTGCTGTGTTCCTCCAGCTCCACACTGTGTTATCTCTGACTCCACCATCGGCAGTTCTTACTATCTCTGAGCAGGTTCTTTGTAATGTCAGCAGTCAGCATGCATATTGCATACAAATGACAGTTTAGCATAAGCCTCCAGACAATGGGATACAGACTTCTCCAACAAAGAATGCCACACAATACCTCGACATGGACTTCAGAATAAGGTCCCCGTGTTAAAGTATACAGCACAAGCCACACTGCACAAATACAGTGAGGACGGGGGACTGTAAGTGCAGTAGAATTATTGATATCCATGCCCCGAGAAAACAGCACTGCATATAACAGCTTGTTGGAAAATATTCACTGTACAAGATGTGAAGAAATCACCTTCATGTCATTGCGCAGTCTATGGAATCTTGAAATGTCTTTGTGATTTGTGGCCTACAGGCAAGACTTTTAAGGTTACCTGTGATTACTTTTGCTTCACAGAGAGAACTATGATCTCTGTAATGATCAACGACATGCTCAGGCGGCCATTGTTCATGGACCATAACCTGAGATGTTGGGGTCTGCTGTCTGAGTTGGAGGCCTGGAGGAGCAAGTGGTGGGCTGGAGGGGCCAAGTACCCACTCTGACTTACATGTTGGGAAATGATGCCATCCAGTTTCTCTCTGGCATGTGGGAAAATAGGAAACTGAACATCAATGCAATGACATTAACTACGAATGACTTGCAAATGGACAAAAATATCCTCTTGCCATTCACTGGCAGGATAGTCAACTTGCTGTGCAAAATATTGAATTGGACTTCTTTTTTGATGTCGAGAATCTCACTCTTCTGCACTTGCCAAATTTTCCGAACTCATTTGCCATTGTGCACATCATTCAGGAACTGGGAAAATTCAGCTTAATAAGTCTTACTGTGATAGTAATGCAGTCATGGAGGAAATTAATGGCCATGATGTTGCACTTTCCTGTTTAGCCAGCAAGCTCTTTTACAGCTTATCCATAGCTGCAGCATTGTCAACTGACACCAATGAAAACCGTGCTCTGCTGCTAAGTTACCCATTTATTTCATGCATGCTACTGGCAATTCGAATTTTAATTATAATGACATTGAGGTCTACAGCACAGAAAGAGGCCATTTGGCTCATCGATTCTGCGCCAGTCACAAGCAACCACTTAACTATTCTAATCCCATTTTCCAGCACTTGGCCTATAGTCTTGTGTGCCTTGTACTGCAGGAACCAACTAAAAAAAAGACAGGTGCACAGTTCCATTTACAGCATTGGGAACAGCACATTGTTGGCTGCCTAGGAAAAGAAAATTGAGCTGGATATAAATTGATGGCTGACCTAAAAACACCAGATTCTTGCTGGGTCAGCTACATTAAAATCATCCCAAAGACAGTCACACTAGCGTAAGAAAGAATTGGCTGGATGGACAGACATACAAATGAGTTTAGGTCAAGAAACAGAAAGATAGCCAAGTATGGACATTGAAACAAAGTGAATTTTGTTTTAACAAGGT